AGTTGATGTCAAATCCGAACGTTTCACCTCCGAGGGGCTTGCAGACGTAGTCAATCACGGGCTTTTCGAGGAAGCACATTTCCACCTTTTCGACGTGGGGGAAAGGAATCTGCAGCTTGATCTTGAGCTGCATGATGCCGGAGAAAGCCATGTCTTCGACAATGACGTCGAGACCCTTGCTAATCATGGCTTTTCCGACTCTGATCTCGAGAACGACTTTCGGGTTGACCTTGTTCTTGATCTGCTTGAAAGTCATATCCGCTGTGTCATTGGGTGTGAAGCTGAACTTCCAATCCATGATGACGGTGTCATCTCCGGCCTGGGGGTAGGTCTTGACGTGCTCCATGCGGGGCGGCTTGGATCCCAGTGTAAACGTCTTGAGCTTCAAGCTGTCCAGGAACGCGGGAGTGGCTGAGCTCAGAACCTGGTCAACCGAGTTGATGATGGTCTGAGCGAGGACGGGTTGGTAGATTGGCCAGAATTTGACCATAAACGAGTTAATCCACTCGAGAGACTCGACTTCGGTCTCGAGCTTCTTCAAGGACAGCTCTCGGTTGATGTCATCGCGGAAGTTGCGCCTAACTCGACGGATGGAGGTGCGGTAGTATGTGGAACATACCGCCATAAGGATGAAGACCCAGCCCAAACCGCCGCCCAAGACCGCGACCAGCCAGGACGAAATACAGGCAAAGACGATAATGGCAGCATTGTGGTACCAGTCGCCATAGAATTTGTCCGGGATATTGCTCTCGAGCCAGGTGGAGTGATCCAGGAGACTCACGCTATCGTGAACGTCTTCCTTGGGCCAGCCAAACTGAGGAGCCCAGCCAGTTCTAGTGTAGGGCTCCTCCTCGACACCTTCTGGGTGTTCGCCCGAATTAAGTGTCTTGCCGTCCTTATCTTTGACAACTTCTATGGCGCCAGCTTTGGTTGGCTCGGGGAGGTCGGTGACGGGAGCGCTCGAGTCGGCAACGTCAGTGACGACGGAGATGCCCTTTGTTCGTTGGGAGTGGAAACCGGGAGGGACAGCCTGTTCATAAGTGGTCAGTCGAGCTCCGGAGTGGTTGACATTTGACTGTTTGCGCGACTCACGGCTGCGGCTTGTGCGCGCTTCTCTTCCGGGCTCGCATCGGGGTCAAAAGTGAAGGCCGTGATGCCGGCCTTTTTGGACTCCTCGACTATCTTCTTTTGCGCGTCGTCGGCAGAAACGTTGCTCTCAGGGTCCTGGGCAGCCTCAACGACACCCTGGACCTTGAGCTCGTTCTTCTCCTTCTCGGTGGAAGCCATGTCGGCGAGGTCTGGGCGCTGCTTCTCGCAGCTGGGTGTGCGGTGTCGCGGTCAATTGGCAAAGCACTCAGCTCGTGATTCCGTGTCGACACATAGAGGGATCGCGGGTGCCGGGTGGATGACGTGGACCGATGACCTGGTCGGCTTGGAGATTTGTGGGAAGATGGAGAACCAAGCAACTTTAGAAAGGGGAGAGGAGGGCAACGAGGGTCTCGGGAGGGTCTCGGACTAAAAAGAGACGATAGATGGGATCTGCGAAGAAAGGGAAAAGGAGGGAGGGAGTGAATGCAGCAAGGCCGGACTGTGGCTGGTCGGCCAGTAGTCTGGTGTACTAGTGGTGAGAATGTGGAGGTTAGAACAGAAGGGTGGAAGAGAAACAAGGCGGGAAGCTAAAAAGTAAACGGCGAGAAAAAGGCGAGAGGTTCGGTGGCAGAGAAGGCAAAAGGCCAAAGGTTGGATGGAGTTTCGGCTCAGATACGTCAGGGTCGCTACGGGCCCGTCAGGTTTAGCTTAGCGGCGTCTCCGTGGCGTGGAGGCGGCACAGGTGGGAGCTGCTGGCAAGGTAGCAATTGGGGGCCGAAAGAGAAGAAGAAGAAGAAGAAGCTGGGCTGGGCTGGGCTGGGCTGGGCTGGGCTGGCACAAAAGCCGGCTGCTGCACAAACGACAGGATAGGAAGCAAGGCGGTGCAGGTGCGAGGACAGGTGCAATCGATGTGCAAGGTGTAACGAGATGATGGGACGAGACGAAGCTGCTTCAGTCCAGCGCTAGCAAAGGACCTAGTGTAACTCAGGTACCTCCACTTAAGATACGCAGTACTCTGTGTTTCTTGGCGAACACCTGCCTCCCACATAGAGTACACAAGAGTGGACAGCTAAACCACATCTCGAAGCCGACCTGGCCTGAACTGCTGCCGACCCAAGTCTCACAAAAGCTCGCCCAAATAGAATAGCGCCGCCGTCACTCGAGCCAATGTGGAGGAAAGGGAATTGCTCTGCTCAAAGGTAAGGTGGCCCGTGGACTTGGCTGCGGATAACGACGTAATTGTTCAGCTGGGGGAGAAGCAGGAAACGCCTCTGACTGGACACTTGAGGCAGGCGGGGAGCCGTCTACAGCACGCCAGGGCAGCGCCCCCCCTGTCGAGCCAGACCAGCGGGATTGGCTGATGGAGCTGTTCGCCAGGGATGGTCAGCTTGCTTGGGTGGCCTCCCGGAAGGGTTGCACTGGGAATGGAAGCAATAGCGGTTCCAGGGCAAGCGGGGGAGAGGCTCTGAACAGGCCAAGTTCCAGTTGGGTTGGTTCCATTCAGGTTTGGGCGAGCCGGTTTTCCAGCTTGGTGCTTGGAGAAACGTTTTTTTTGTTGTTTTTTTATGTTTCCTCCCCATGTCCAGCTGTGTGCAAGGTGTCAACGGTATCCGTCTGTCTGTATGCACCTCATCCTCATCCCAACTGCCAATCCCCATCCGACCAACTGGACGTCCACAGAACCAATGCTGATCTACACTCGCGGCATTCGGCCATCTCTTAGACGAAAGTAACAGCGTGCGACATCATCTCGTCAAGCGCTCTGCCCTTCCTCTGTACCGCGCCACACACGACTGGCTTCCGCTCTCCCAAGCGTGGCCCGCCAGATACTGGCGCCAACAACGACGTGCATCTGCAACATGCTGCTACTGCAAGGCATCCTGTTATTATCCGCCCGGCGCATGTCGTCTCATCCCAGGCTCTCGCCATCCGCTCAGTAAGCCGGCACCGCTTACAGTTTGCATCGCCATTCAAGAGGCGCGCACTCGCAGGCAGAGCAGAGGCAACCAAGCGTTGAGCAAGGCACCAGACGATCAAAACTCCGAAGCCTCTGTGCTTTCATGACACGCACATTCTAGTCAGCCACAAAATTCTGAGGCTGGCAGACTTCAGCTCTGAAATTTCAACCCACCGCGGCGACCCCTCCCGTGCCCCTCTCCCGACTGCGCTCTGTCTCTGCGCTTGCGGCCGGACGGGGCCGAGGTCCTGGCAGCCTTCATAACCCCAAAACCTGGATACGGCACCTTATCCTGGGCAACCCTGTCCAACGGGCGCAAACTGCCAATCCCTCCGCCGAATCACAGCAAGCCGAACTGCCAAATCCTTGCCGCGCATCCTTCTCTCGATCGGACCATCGTAAACCGAAAACTGGCCGACGGCTGACGGGTCTCGACGGGTTGACTTTCCAGTGGTGTGTTGGTGGTGCGCACCCGGAATTTGTTGTACTCGCTCTTCGTCACTGCTAATTTACAGTGTTGCGCCAATGTCTCTTGCTGATACAGAGCAGCCACAGGAACACCCGCAAGCTTTTCATCGTTACTCAGATCACCGATGGCCGCGCAATGTCGGGCAGGCTTGAGCACTTGCTACGCCTCGAGATTTGACATGACAACGCAGCTAGGTCAACAAAGTGGCGCATGCTCACCGTCGACCAACCAGGCCAATTTCAGCAACCCCAAACTGCATCTGGCAAAAGCGGTCGTTGCTGTTGTCGAACGTTATCAAAGCAACCTTTAGACTGAGACATCCATCGCTGCCGTCTTGGCAGGGCCCAGCCACCAACGCCTCCGAGCCCGTCGCAATTGCCGCCCGATCGCAGCAAGACAATGCCAGCGCCGGTTGATTGATTTCCCGATTTCACCGACTCGAGCAGTCTTGGATCTGGATGGTTTTCCTTGTTGATGAAACAAACCGCCACTTTAGCCTCCCTCGGAATGTCTTGGTCCACAACCATTGAAGGTATGTATGTCACCAGCCACTAGTCAGTTTACATCCTCCGCAATATCATATTGAATCTGAAGGGGCGGGGATTATCGCATGCAATCATTCTCATCTTAACCTTCTCCCCTCATGAATCGACTGCGATCCCTTCGAATGGTGTAACACTACGACAAGTAGAGGGCAAAGCCGTCACGTCTCCCTCGCTTCGTCTGTCTTTCCAAGGGGCCTACCTTAGGCTAAGCCTCAACGTGTCACACTCAAGCATCAGCAATACCACTATGATATGCCGCATAGTCTGAAAGGATATGGCGCAAGATCTCAAGATAGTAGGGTCGCAAGCCAATAGTCAGAGTCTTGCTAGAGTCCGCGGGAGTGACAATTATGCTGTTAGACTCCTATCAGAATTAAAGACTAGGCTAACAAGCATCGCTAATGTTCCCTGTCGTCCTTGACGTTGTCGTCCTCGTTGCCGCCTTTATCATTATACTTGTTGGTATGATTTTCAAACTTGCTGATGCACCCTGTCTTGCTCTTTGATACGGCACGACTATCAATCTGGAATCAAACGACACCTCCTACAATCTGCTCTTATGACATGAAACAGTTTTACAATCCTCCATTCTCATGTCACGTAGAGACGCGGAATGTCTTTATTCTAAGCTCTCTCGCATACCAACACGTCTATATGGTCATCTGCATATACATCGACATGTTCATCAGGTATACATCGACATGCGTGACCATTAGAATCCCACTCATCTTTCGCTCCACGCCAGTAAACTTCACCTTTGCTGGTTATCACATCTATGAAGCGCCAGGCATTCATAACACTCTCATCTTTCAACTTAACTTGATCGTTGCCTGCGATCTCAAGATTGAACCCGTTCCCGTGAAAGGTACCTCATGTCTTCGCCCCAGGCTTCAATTTTGCACCGTATTGTACCAGATAAAGATTAACACGGAAATATTCTTCAGAAATCACCCTGTCGAGGAGTATAAGAAACGCCCCCCCGAGGACCCGGCTCGTCCATCATGGTACCAATGTGGTCTTTTTCAGGATCAAACGCCCAGGATTCGTCGTATTCGAACGCAATAGCAACAGACCCCCCGTACCAGCCCAAGCGCTGTATATCGAGGTACGAGAGAGGATCATCCTCATAAGGATAAAGAGCCTCCGTATCCGGAAGCTGCATGCAAATGAGACCTGGCCCCGGAAGTATACCAAAGGTTATGTTTTCCTGGCCATGTCGTATGTGAGCAACAGCGCGGTTTGTTCCCCATCGCAGGCCTTTGTAACGTCTTGTCATTTGCTTGGTGACGATCATTCTCGATTCCTTGCAGGCTGTCCACATGCCAAAGTCGTAGAAGTATGCCGAAGGGTTATTCTCCTTCCAGAGTGGTTTCGACTTCTGTGTAAAGGAGGGGAATGTCGTGAAGCGCTTGCCCGTTTTGACGTCTCGTTGGACTGAAAAGAAATGAGCTCCTGGATGATCGGGACCCGCAGGCCGAACTGCAAACTCCCAGATGCATAGTCTGAGCTCAGCTGGCAGCTTTGAGAAAGAGTGAAAAGTTTTGGTCATGGTGTGCAAATTGTAGCGTGTGATAGTGATAGGGGAGGTGAAATGTGAGAAAGCCTTTTGAGTGCTTTCATTTATACTTGACTTCAACTTAAGACCTTCATGGCAACTTTGAAAATTTGTCGAACCGCTTCGTCTCCCACCTTGTGGACCTTGAGATGATTCTGACAGATATCATTAGGCATTGACAGCTGAGCATTGGCTATAGCTCTACTTATATCGAAAACGAATACTTTGCCTGTAGGCTTGCTATCGTCCCCATCATCCCCATCGTCCTAGGTATCGTCCTTAGTATGATTTCATGTTCTTCTATTGTATAGAAAATGTAGCTACATTGACACGATACACCGAGAGGATCTGGTAGTTCATAGGAAATGTCCCTTAAGCTGTAGATAGACAAAGCTGATGTGTGGCCGCAATAGCAGCAACCTGTTTGGGAGTACGTGCAAAACATACATTATGCACGGCCAGACATCACGGTCAAGCACCTGGATGAGGGTGTTCTTAAACGTCCACGATAGGTAGTCATTTAACGCTATTATACCAGAGAAAAGATGCCTTTAGGTTTTGGCTTAATTGAGATCATATGAATCGAAGTATTGCTACACTACTCACGCAAAGGTTGCGCGAGCTAAGGGGGGATTGCGATCTTGCACAAGCAGCCCGCTCATCTTCCAGGACCATCCCGTTCCTGGGCCTCCCGTATGAATTAGACCTTTTTCCCCCCCAAAACCCAGGTCGTTATGATCCTTAACCCGTCATTCCACAAGAACATAACGCCAACCATCATGAGCGTTTCAGAAGAGAAAAGAGAAGTGAATGGAGAGACGGTGCTCTCGGTCGACGACCCCTTGAAAGAGTTGTCGGAGATGAGCCAGCATACCAGAAGAAAGCATGACAGATATAGGAGCGAATCTCCGATAATTTCCCACACCTCGCATTCTCATCTCCAGCCGACCGCTCGCACCTTAGAAGTTACCCGACGCCGTGGTCTCGGAGTCGGCCGCGACGCTGACATCCTTGACAGTCACCGACGACCCGCTCTCGCTCGTGACCTTGACGTCCACAGTCTCGGTGCCGAAGCCGCTCGAGTTCTCAAAGAAGTTGTACTGCTGGCGCGTGGTCGCCTGCCAGGTGCTGCCGCCGTCGGTGCTGACCTCGAGCTTGGCGACGGGCTCGTTGTGGTTGAGGACCTGCATGGAGAACCAGTGCGACGAGGTGCCCGACTTGTTGTGCAGCTTGATGGCCGAGGTGATGCCGCACTCGACGAACTCGTACGACGTCGCGATCTTGCCGGCCGAGATGTCGCCGATCTTGGCGAAGGCGTCCTGGAACAGGTCGAGCTGGCCCGCGGAGCACTCGGGGCACTGGTCGACGATCATGGCGGTGATGACGCCGTTCGGGCCCGTCACCTTGACGCAGGCGCCGCACTTGGCGGCGAAGTCCCAGGCCGAGCCGGAGAAGGCGGTGCCGTAGAGGCCGGAGGGGATGGTGTAAGTGGAGAAGGAGCACATGCCGCCGGAGGTGTTGCCGCCGTAGAAGGTCGACTCGCCGGAGGTGGACTCGGCGCTGATGGGGGTCGTGGAGGCGACGGCGGTGCTCGCGGCGGCAGTAGAAGAGCTTGCGGCCGCCTCGACCGGGGCCTGGGAGGCTTCGGGGGTTGTGGCGGGTGCGGACGACTCGGTCGGGGTCTCGACGGGGGACGGCAGGACGACGGGAGTTGCTTGGATGGGGGCGCTCGTTCCCGTCTGGGTGTAAGTGATGATCTTGGTGCTACGGCTGCGGGCCGAGCAGGGCTTGACGGGCTTGGCGAGGGCCATGTTGGCGGCCGAGGCGGCCAGGAGAAGAACTTGATACTTCATTGTGTCGAAGTTTGGACTTGAAGAAGAAGGATGGATGTTACGGCGAGCTCCTGACCGAGGAGGAACTCCTGATGAAGATCCAGATGAACCGTTGCGAAAGAGCAATGAGAGAACAGCAGTTGGTAGTGAAGGAGTGGCAAGCCGCGAAAGGGGCAGTGACAAGTTCCAGACCAGAGACCAGCGTGGATGAGGAAAGAGGTTCAAAAGGGTTCGCACAAACGGTTTAACAGGACCAACACCTCCTTTCCCGGCAGCAGGAGGAGAGCAGCGGGAGATCTCTATTTTATTAACATTGCGAGCCCATCTGCTGCAGCCTGATCGAAGGAGAAGGGCAACGCGCCGGCGCCACTTACAAAGCAGCTGCGCGAGTTATTTTCCCTTCCCCCCATGCGCCGCCATCACGCATACACACCTCATCCTCGTCTTCCCATCGGACCAGCAGGACGCAAACACGCTGCCAAACAGACTAGAGGGCCGCAAATTTCTGCCCTCTGCGGGTGTGTCTCACCGGCGCCGTGGTGCTGTTTCCAGGCATGCCTGCTGGCTCGTGGCGAGAGCGTGGCTCCATCGTCATCTAAATTGGACGGGGGTGTGAAACGGGTCTACGGCGGGGAGGATTGACATTGGCTCACCACACAAACGTCGACAAGAGGGAAACATTAAAACCAAGGTCCCAGAAAAACAATATCGGGCGCCCACAGGATTGCCTCCGATGACAACTCGAATACCCATTCGGAGGAGGGGAGGAAGACAGGAGGAGGGGTGGTGACACCGACCTAGGGCTGAAGCCGCGCGCGCTGCGACATCCCGTCTCTGACTGCTTAACATCATGCACAGCGCGTGCCATATCCCGACGTCGATATAGACCTCCTTCCTCTACCCCAAACAGCCGGATCGGCCCCCCATTTGCTTCTTTCTTTCCGCATATTGACAATAATCCGATGAGCCTATTAGGGGGGGGATGCTCGTGCCACCTTTTGGGGGCAGCAGGCGGGAGCGGGAAAGGACTGCGGGAGAAACGTAAACGTTTACTTATTTACACTCATCACAGAAGGTTTCGCCGGTTCGTCCAATCACTCTGGCCTTGCAGCAGCTCATTTTCCGCCTGTCGCGCGCGTACGGATACACGCAACAGCGTCTACCCCTGGCCTGAGAGATGAAGTCCGACTTAGTTGTCCGACTCGGCCGCAGGCAAATAATCACCGCAAGCCAGTGTGCAATTTAATGAGAAAAAAAGAATAAGCTCATCAAATGCGGTCCGGTGGATGAAGGGCAGATGAGATGAGGAACTTCTGCTCCTCCTCCTGCCCGTGCCGCACATCCTGCCTGCGGAAGCCTCCCACGTTCGCCAATAGGCACCGCGCATGCCAATAGCAGAAGGATGGAACGGGTTCGAGAACATCCAGGGGTCGGGGCCAGGTGCATCGTGAATCCCTGGCGCGAGTCCCCCAGCTCCACCCTTGATATCCACTCAGTGCTCCACCCGCGCCGACTGGCCCGACCTTGCCGGACGTTCTAGGCCCCTGTGGTGGGCAGAATAACTCAAGAAGGTTCGAAGAGTCGTCGAGGGAGAAGACGACGCTGACAGGACCGTAGACGGCAGGACAACGGGTCGCCGTCCTCGGCGCGAGCGGCGCAGGGAGCGCCGGTGACATGAGCCGACACGCCTCCTTTCGACGTCACTACAAGTCACGTTACACGCTTCTCCACGAATTGCGCCTCCTTGCTCAAGGTGAAACCGTGGGGAAGACAGCTTTGGGCGGGTATCTCGCCGTAAGTGGCATTGTGAGCTCCAAAATATCTATCTATCTGAGTGCATGGTATTTCCGTCAAGCTGGAAAGGAGAAAGAAAGAGCGAGAGTCCTCTGCGTTTTTGGGTGTGTTTGTGTGTGACGACCAACAAAAGCTGTGTCTCTGCGACCCCTCTTCGCTCAGCAGTATCTACTGAAAAAGTATACCCTGATGCAACCCTTCGCCGTCAATGGGCCAGAGTCCAGAACAACAACAGCTAAATCGCGTAGTGTGAAAGATGCCCACATTTGATGACGACACGTGCATGGCATATATCCACCTCCAAGCAAGAGCCGAAACACCCCTCATTTGGTATGTCACATCGGGGAATATCCCATCTCAAGCGGCACCGCACGAAAGAGAGGAGTTGGGTATGAGATATAGAGAGGGGGGAAAAGAGGAGACCGACCATAATGTTCGCTGCGTACAATACCAAAAGGAATGTCTTCCAAAGGATGGACTGGGTTAAAGAGGGGGCCCTATGCTAACCGAAACGCCGAAATGTGGACGAGAGACAATGGGAAACAAGTAGACAACCCGAGGTATCAATAGCCAAAACTATCGTGCTGATGAACGGGACAGCGTCCAGGGTGATTGACGAACCAGGCCGAAATGCAAGACCGATGGAAACGGCACAAGCACTCCAACCGCGCCATAGGGATACCAACCTCGAACTCTTCGAGACAGATGGTGCATTCCGCAGAGTCTACGCAATCCTTCTCCGTAGCAACGTAGGGGAACATTCCCGTCCGGCGCGCGGCTAGAGGTGGCGGAGTACCGGATGGCGGCGTTTCGCTTGTTGGCGTGCCACCGTATGTGCTGTGCGAGGTGATGCAAGTATTGATGTGCTTCTCACGTAAGTGCTCAAAGTTTGACAAGGTGCGTGAGGGGAGCTCTCGGTGACAGACGGGGCACTCGTCCTCCTCGGCGATCTGCGGCGGCGGCGGCAGGGCGCGATTCTGTGCGGCCGACGACGACGACGAAGAGACCCCGACGTCCAGCATGGACCGGTAACGGGATGAGCCCGGATAGACCGCCGATGAGGAAGGGTAGTACGTGGGAGGTGTCCCGGCCATAATCCGGTTTTGAGTGGAGTGGTAATGTCCGCGAGAGCTTGAAAGCCCACCAGGACCGGAATGCTAGGTCTGTCAGCGACTTCGTTTGAGCCAATGCTCAGGCTTTGCTTACCGTGATGCTCCTAGATCTTGCATAGGCATCCTGGGAAGGGCTTGCCGTGAAGTAGCCCGAGAACCTGCTGGGTGGTGGGGCGTTGCTGGACATCGTGCTGATGCTGCTCTGCGACCTGTAATGAGATCCTCGAGGTGATAATTGCGAGGGCGAGTCAAGCGGCTGTGGAGGCGTGGTATTCGGGTCAGGGACGCATGGGTTGCATAGGCGAACACGCTCTCCGCCCCCTAGACTGCTGAAATCGGCATATCCTCCCTCACCACTAATGAGGGACGACGGGTATCTCTGGGCGGCCAGGCGTGGTTGACCTGGGGGCTGTACGATGTACTGGTAAGGGATAGTGATTCTGTGAGGCGAGCAAGAATTGCAAACAACTCTGCCACATTTCCTGAGCACTGTCAGAACATGAGTCGCGTTGACACATGCACCAAGCAAACTTACCTGCAATGATGTTTTCTTACGAATATACTGAATTGCGTGTGGCAAATAGGGCAATAGGTCACTTCTGCATCGGGCTGCCACCGTGGCAAGTTGATTTCCGGTGGGCCTCGCCGCTCCTCGGGTGATTGTTGGTTGCGCGGAACAGGCAAAGGAGCAAACGAGGAACTCGACCTCCTGGGCGGCGGAGGAGGCGCTTCTTGCGATCGGCGAGGTATCAGAGCTGGGCGAAGAGGTAGTTCTTGCGCAGATGCAGCTGCAGCTTGGGATGTGACCAGACTTGAAGTCCTCTGCGGCGGGACGAACTCTCCGGTGGGTTGAGTAGGCGTGGCTGTTGGTGGGAGAGGTTGAGAATGGACAGAGGATTCAGACAGCCGTGAGCTCAGTGGTGTAGGTGGTGCTGGCGCGGGTTCTTCGGGATCCTGAGACTCTTCAGATTCTTCGATCTCCTGTGCTGAAGTTGCCCGTGCTGCCTCTGCTGGCTCCGGCGTTTGCTCCGTATTGGTCTCCTCAGGCCCGGGCGCAAAGCTTGTTGGGTCCCGCTCAGGAGAACCTGCCGTCACGGTAGAGATCGCGACTCGTGGCTCCTGACTGGTGCTCGAAGAGCTTTCGGCCCTGTCACTGACCGTCTGAAGCTGCCGTGACGGCCCCTCTCCTGCATTGCTATCTTCGTCTTCGTCTTCGTCCCCAGAGAGATGTCTCTCGACGACGTGAGTCGGGCAGTCGAAGAAGCGAGAGCACTCCATATCGTGAAATCGAGCAGTTCGCCAGCGACACTCTTCCCGTTCTAAAGAATTATCCGAAGCGTCACTCCCTATGTGGGAGCTGCCCGATATCGAGTCTCCATCTTCGCGCGAGCGGTGATCGTCAAGGTCAAGGGAAGCTGGAGCAGCTCCACCGTCTGGACTCGCCATCTTAGAATGTTTGCATCGTCTCCAGTAACGCCAAGTGTCTCTGCGTTGTCGATGAGAATCGGTACGCCGCGGTGTCAAGCTTCAAAGTTTTCTTCTCCTCTGCGCCAATCAGTCGATGTCGCGAGCGAGTCGTGGATTGAATCGGCAGTCAGGCTGTTGACGGTGATAAGTCAGCATGACGAAACAAGAGTCAATATCCGACATGGTGGGGTCCAACGTTACCTGAGCAGAGGCGTCCAGCGACAGCAGCGTGCATCTGAGCTGGTGCTCTGGTTGGCGATGAGGCGGAAAGTAATGCTGCAGAATATGCAAAGATCTTGGTGATGAGGCGAGGAATATTTGGAGGGGTTACGGCACACGAGCAACCAACCTGCCAATACCTTGCCGTGCCTTAGCACCTTGATTGAGCACATGCACCTGTCCAAGCCACTAGCGTGAGTCGGGGAACGACGTGCTTATCGCGGCCTGGACCTTCCGACTGGCGCCAATCGCGCGATTAGATGGAAAGTGTGGCGCCGATAGGTGCAAGGCCCCACTGCTCAGCGCTGGGATCCGCCACGGTGGCTGGGGACTCCCGACTTACCTAATTTCAGCTCACCCCTTCTGGTATCTTCCCAACCTCGAAATGTCACTCTGTGATCCACCAAACGCGGCATGAAAGATTATTAG